CATATACAATCTCTCTACTTCAGTACATAAATTTCTGAAATGAGAAGCACATTCAGTCTCAACGTACATATTCGACTTGATGTTTTCACGGTTTACTATTGCATGTAGACGCTCGTGGCGTTCGTCATTCTTCGTCGCTTTGCACGCATAATCAAATGCCTCCAAGTATCGCCCTTAAATGCTGTTGCTGTTTACTTTTTCAAAAACTCAACAAATCAGAATCGATACCGTTAAAAAACAATGTTCAATTTAAAAAATAATATGTGATACAGTTGATTTCGAAGAAATTAAATCAGATACGAATTTTCCTCTTTAGATCATGCGATTCCAAATTTGCACCATGCGATTAGCTATCATGGCTATTGCTGGTTGGGATTCCCTTCGTAACAATAATTTTTTTTTGAAAAAGCATTTGTAAACGTAATGCGTAATGCTTTTGGTGTATAGACATGAAAAGCTGAAGGAAGAATCATCCATTCACCAAACGTACCAATGGAGAAGAAAAACTCCGCGCATTTGTTCAACAGCGTTGGTTTTTGCTCGAATAGCTCACAACTCATTTTCAACCAAACGATTTTCTGTTGATTTTCAATGCTCTCATCGGAAAGCAATCCTTGAAGGGCATCGCAAAATTCTTTGAAATATTTCGCACGCTTCGATGGTATCAACCAATTCAAAATCCCATAGTAATTCATTAACGCCGCATTGAAATCGCCCTCTCCAAAGGCATCACGCGCTGCTACTAGAGACAATTTCATGACGTTGAGTGAACCTGAAATCCGACTAAATCGATGAGACTCCATTAAAACCGATTGTATCGGCGATAACCGACCGACGACATGGCATCATTTGCAAGCATGAAAATTCTTTGATAATTTAGATTGAGAAAATGGAAAATTTCCCGCTTCCATCTACTACCTCAATGAGATAAACTGATTACTTTGAGTAATCAAACCGACCTAAACTTCAGGTGTTCTTCTCTGCTTTTCGGACAAATTCTGAAGTAGAAACATTTTGCTCCTATGAAAAACAGTATTAAATTCTGAGGCAAATAGATATCGTAAGAAAACGTTGAATACAAACGTTATTGAAAAATACCAGTGGAATAAAGAGAAAAATGTTGAATCAATGAATTTATCAAATTAACCTAAAAACAAACACAATATTATACAATAGATACATCACTGTGAGCAGAATGGACATTTAACAAAACATTTCGAGCTTCCCAAATGATTCGTTTAGATTTTTGTTGGTTAAAAACATCAGGCATTTGCGTCATGACAACTACCAAAAAAAATCCGATAATTTTACTCAATTTCCAGTGGATACTC